GTCAAAGTCCCTAAATGGAATTATTGAAGCTGAATAGGACTGTTTTGATTGCGCCAAGCGGTGTCAGTGACGGAATGTATTTCATGTTCCAGTGGACACGGAAGGCAGTAATAAGACGGCGCTGAAGTATCGATGCCACACGATGAAGAAGCTCAGCATGACCAGAACTCTTCTGACAGAAAAGAAGGAAGGAGAAGAAAACATAGGTTAGTTCCCCTGGTTCTCTGAAAACAGGTCATTTAATACTGGCTTTGACTGACCCATCGCTGCCAGGACATTCTTTGTACTTTGTAGTGTTAAGTATGTGTAATATGCTAAATGTGTTACAATTGAAATTGTCATGAAAAATGCCATAGACTTAAAATTCAGTTGATCTAAGAGAGCAGAGGGCACAGAGACACAAAAGAATCCTCTGTCCCCTCTGTGTGGGAACAGTTGCAAGGAGTTTGTCAAGAAACTTGACATATCCTTTCCAGCCCTTAGGGAATTGAGCAGTGTCTGTCCATCTTTTTAATTAAAACTTCTTTGTAAATGGAGAAGGTAGGATGATTGCAGTTCTGAATCCCCAAGATTAACCCCAGAAGATGGAGAAGCGTGTGGCGACTGCAGCATTCTTACCCCAGACGCTCCCTGCTGGAAGAAGCCGGCTTGGGCTCCAGGAGGGACTAGGGGCCACAGTCGTTCGTCCAGGGTCGAGTTCTTACTTAGCGTCCATTTAGCCTCTCCAGTTGCCAGTCATCCCAGAGTAGAGACTGTAGACCGCTGTCTGCTGCACCCACGGCGGGCAAGTGGCCGTGAAGGTGAAAGGTGATCACGCGATGGTTAATAGCCCATCACTCAGAGACATATTTGAAACTCTAGTAAATACGACTCTACTGAGGAACAGTCATGGCTTGGTTTATTGTATTTTAAGGCATAAACATTGGAAGGTCCATGAATCATATGGCAATTGTACCAAATACACAAAACTACGTAACAGTTCTGTTCTTGTCACATATATCCTCCAAATATCCCTTTAGGGCCTCTGTGAAAATACTAGGAAGAAGGAGGTACTTGAAGTTCTAGGATGACCTTGAGAAGCAGATGCAGATCGGAGCTTAGCTGTTCATCAGAACCTTTCTAAATGAAGCTGTAGAACATCCTCTCCTATAGGCTTTAGTAACCTAAAAGGTCTTTGGATATTTTGTTTAATCAAATAAAGTTGTAACCAAGTATTCAAGGCTATACTGGTTATCTACTGCTGCCTATAAAATTACCCCTAAATGTAATAGCTTAAACAACAAAAAACCACTCTCTCACAGTTCCTGTGAACCAAGAATTTGGGAGCGTTCACCGAGGTGCTTCTGGCTCAGGGTCTCAGGGTGCAGTCAGTATGTGGGCTGGGCTCCCGTCATCTGCAGGCTCAAGGAGGCTGGAAAATCGATTGTAAGACGGCTCGCTCACACGGTGAGCATGCATGGTGCTGGCTGTTCACAGGAGGCCTCAGTCCCTGGCCTTCCAGAGCACTGTTGGACGGCCCTCCCGACGTGGCTGCTGGCTTCTCCCCACCAGGCGGCCCGTGAGAACGAGGTAGAGGACACTGTCTTGTGAACCAGCCTGAGCTGTCACGGTCTGTCACTTCTGCAGTATCTATTCAGGGCAGGAAGGGACAGCGCAGGGGCATGAGGACCAGGAAGATGAGGCGTGTTGGGGACTGTCTTGGAGGCTGGGTACCAAGCACGCCGGTCTGCTGAAGGTGGAAGGGAACAGACGGGAGATCTGGTCCTTACCTTCTGGGGACTTGCACTCTAAAGTCAGTTATGTTGAAACAGGGTGAATATGAGTCAATACCCATTTCATTCAATTCATTTACATTCTGTTATGTGCCAAATATTATGCTAAATAGCAGAGCAGGTCAAGGGTTTGGACCTGACGGCTAGTAGAATGACGCTATTGCAGGAAAATATACGAAAGTCAGTAGTTGAAGCTGGGCTGGAGGGAAAAGGACTAATCAGTTTAGGTAGAGGGAGACTTTGTAGTAGTGACGTGAGACAACGTGGGGTCAGCAGTTGCCAGGCAGCTGCAGAAGCATTAGTTCATGGTGGGGAGCAGGAGCAGACGCGTGAATGGGGCTGCCAGACAGCTGCGGGCACCTTAGAGGTCGCTGGTGGGCTTTGGAAGACGCACAGACAGCTTGTGCTTGCTGTAGAGATGAACGAGGACCCGTGGAAAGTATTTGGCTGAGAGGGTCATGAGGATAAAAGGAAAAATGACTAACATTGGAGCAGTTCTTGATTCTGGGGCTCACTGACTATGAATGTGGGAAGGAATGAAATTTTTTCCAGGTGCTTTTTGGACAGGTGTCTTACCTCACAGGTGGGCGCTCTGACTGCACAGGACTTGGAGGCACCAGCTTGGCAGGCGATAGAGCCCCGTCTCCCACTGGACTGCGGGGGCTGAGCGCGCAAAGGCAGACCTGTAGGGAGGCGGGAAAGGTCTCTGCCCGCAGGCGCGAGGTGGCACGGGCGCTCAGGGCATCCCCAGAACGAGGTGCACGCTGGGACTCTGGGAAAAGGGCCTGGAATAGTGACTGAGTTCATGCCTATTAGTGATTTTGATGCTGCATCCTCTGGAGGCATTCCAGGGTCTCCGTGTGAGATGGAAGTGGAGTGACCGTCAGTGTCACGGGCACCATGTTCGTGTTGGGGTTTCATTTTGACTTGTATTCATAGGATGAAGATTTAAACTGAAGAAAAATATACTTAAATAACTGAAGTTCTCTTTTCATGTTTCTTCCTTGGTTTTTCTTACTACCCCTCTCCCTCCCCCATTAGGTGGTGTGGAATGGCTGCAAATCAAGGGCAATGATTTCTCCTATAGACCCAACATGATCTGTAGTTTTCTGCATGAAAATGAAGATGAAGAAGGTGTAGCTTCAGCCCCAGATAAACCTTTGGAGTTGGAAGAGCAAGAGACCCAAATGAAAGAAAATTCAGACCTGAGTGACGAACAGGAGAAACCTCCAGACCTGGACATGGAGGGCTCTGGGGCTCCTGATACCACTTCTGGGACAGAAGGTTCTGTTTTTATGGACTCTCAGGATTCTGCCGTTGAAATCACTCCTAGGTGAAATATTTCCCATGAGAAGTAGTCGTGAACTTTTTACAGTTTTTACATAAAATAATTGGCTATGTGGCTTTCAGTTCACTATCTTATTATTTTTGTTGGCTCACATATTTGGCACACATTTTCAATAATAGCACAGCTTAATATACCAGAATAATTAAGGAGCAGGTAGGAAATGAATTCTTGGCAGTGAGGTTTAAATGATGATAAGGATTCTGTGATCTTTAGATTGGAGGTTTTACTAAGGTAAGTGTACGTGTTTTCTGTTGCAGCCATCACAAATTAACACAGACTTGTGGCTTCAAAGGTCACAGTGTATGTCTTACAGTTTTGTAGGTCTGCTCTCCAACATGGGTGTCGCCTAAAGTCAAGGTGTTGGCTGGGCTTCTTTCTCCAGAGGTCGGAAGGGGTGTTCTCTGTTCCTGTGCTCAGGCTGTTGGCAGAGTGCAGTTTTGGGGTTGAAGGATCAAGGCGCCCTCCTTGCTGTCAGCTGCAGCCATTCCCAGCTTTCAGAGGCCGCCTGCTTTCCTGGGCCCATCCTTTCTCCCTGAAGCCGGTGACGATCGAGTCCCTCCCTCTTTGAATCTCCGCTGCCGCTCCTGTCCTCTCACTGACCCTTCTGCGTTGTACTTGTAGAGATCCATTTGATCGCATTCGGCCCACCTGGATAGCCTCCCTATTTTTAGGTCTATAGCCTTAGTTCTGTCTGCAGAGTTCTGTTATGTCACATAACCTAACATAAATAGCCATAAAACTGAGGGTTTTGGTATGAAAATCTATGGGGGGGCTTTTGCAGTCTACCACAGTAAGTGTATATCTAGGAACCGAAAAAATTCAGAAGGACTTAAGGATAAAGGAACAGTTCCTAATATTCTAGCTGTATTTCCACTCCTTTCCCACTCAAGAAAGATTATTGGAATTGAGCTTAACAGCCAGGTTAGTGATGACCTAGATTTGTGCTAATTTGTGTTTTTAAGTAAACTCTTCACAAATTTTGATACAGGTTGACCTGTATGAAGTTGCCAATATTTGATTGTTTATGACTACAAAAAGCAATTTCATATGGTTTAACCTGGTGCTAATAAAGTTAAAACACACCTCCCGTTAATTATATCTCACAACTCTTAAGAGATGTGACTATTGTGACGGAGAAGTCATGTTCTAGCATAAGGAATCTTTTTCTTTAGTAAATTTGTACCTTTTTGCTATTTGAATACAACTTAGCTTGATGAAAAGCATTTCCAAGTCATAAGCACATATATTGTCCCAGTTTTTGTATAACTTGAGTCTCAGCTTATGCTTAACAAAAAGTTCATTTCGTCCACCATGTGTAGTTGTAGGAGAGACAGCTAATTGTCTGACCCAGTATCTATTCTTCCTTTTTTACTTTGTAACAGAATTGCGGGTTTCATTCAGGATAGCAATGTGTCCAGCTTTCCTTGTGTATATACATGGCTTTATGACTACGTTCTGGCCAGTGGCATGGAATTAGACGTGTCGAGTGGTGCATACTTCTGGGAAGTCTCTTTAAATTAAAGGCCTAAAGGGAAATGGGCAGCTCCCCCCTTTTCTGTGTGGGCACATGCTGTATCCTACTGGTAAGTTGTATCCGTGGACCATATCTGGACCAGGGAGACTGACAAGAACTGAAAATGCCCGTTGGAAAACATGGGCTTCGGGCTTCCTAAGCACTGTTTCCTGTCACAAGGATCCCTGGAAAATGAACTCATGGGTGGTTTCAAGAGATATTCGTTCTTAGGGAGCATGAACATCTAAGCTAGAGTGGCTTCTGCACTCATCCCAATGACTTGTTCCCTTACGCCTGAGCTGATACGGGGGTGGCTGGTATAAAGAGGTAAGTGGAAACAAGCTCAGGCTGCTGTGCTGTTTCCTGTAAAGTCAGGTGAGCCTGGGTTGTGTCCTACAAGGCTTATTGGATCCTGTGAGTGCGGCTGTCATTCCAAACCCATGACTACTGCTGCTGTTGAGGCAGAGAAGGCAGTGTAACTACCTATCTCTGACCTTTAATGTGAAAGAGAAATAACTTGTCCCTTGTTTAAGTCACTGTAATCAAAATTGACATATTATGCATTTATAAAAATACAGAAAAGTATAAAGGAGTAGAAGATTCTTGAGATTTGTAATCTTGCAAAAGTAAGTGATCTGGACTGTGATGTACTTCCGCCTTAAATTGTAGAGGACAATGAAGTCACATTCTGAAGAGAATATATATATTTAGTTCCTTGTTAATACATGTTTCGAATTTAGTAAAATCTTATTTTCAACTATAAAATTTTTTCTAAGACTAGAACTTCACATAAGAATACCGTTACCACGATCTGCCTGACTAGCTTGCTAGAATCACTTATACTGATCTCGGAGCCACTGTGTCTGTCGCTGTCACACCAACTGACGCTGAAGGCAGTGGGTGGCTTTTGCTTACAAATATATTCCACCCAAAAGGGTCATATCGCTGAGATGCATCATGGAGAATTACTCTTTAAGCTCATCATAGCAATGTTGGAATATCCACCCATTTGTTCATCGTGATCATAAATTTATTGACAGATGCGGCCAGCTTAGTGAAACTCAGGATCATGTGCTTCTCCACTCATATAGCAGCAACTTACAGTATTTCAGAATCTCCTGTTTTCATTTCTCATTTCAACTGCCTAAGTGAAGCTGAACAAGTTTCTCATGTGTCAGTCTTGCAGAGAGTCACCTTCCAGAAATGTCTTCATTGATTCTGGAATGGATTTGTTGTCTTAATCTCCTTGTGGAGTAAGAATATCCTGTTTATAAAATTGTCTGGAAGTACACTTTACATTAGTTCAAGACAGGGAGTATGTACACCTTTGTAAATGTTAATAAATATTATGCATTTATAAAAATACAGAAAAGTATAAAGGAGTAGAAGATTCTTGAGATTTGTAATCTTGCAAAAGTAAGTGATCTGGACTGTGATGTACTTCCGCCTTAAATTGTAGAGGACAATGAAGTCACATTCTGAAGAGAATATATATATTTAGTTCCTTGTTAATACATGTTTCAAATTTAGTAAAATCTTATTTTCAACTATAAAATTTTTTCTAAGACTAGAACTTCACATAAGAATACCGTTACCACGATCTGCCTGACTAGCTTGCTAGAATCACTTATACTGATCTCGGAGCCACTGTGTCTGTCGCTGTCACACCAACTGACGCTGAAGGCAGTGGGTGGCTTTTGCTTACAAATATATTCCACCCAAAAGGGTCATATCGCTGAGATGCATCATGGAGAATTACTCTTTAAGCTCATCATAGCAATGTTGGAATATCCACCCATTTGTTCATCGTGATCATAAATTTATTGACAGATGCGGCCAGCTTAGTGAAACTCAGGATCATGTGCTTCTCCACTCATATAGCAGCAACTTACAGTATTTCAGAATCTCCTGTTTTCATTTCTCATTTCAACTGCCTAAGTGAAGCTGAACAAGTTTCTCATGTGTCAGTCTTGCAGAGAGTCACCTTCCAGAAATGTCTTCATTGATTCTGGAATGGATTTGTTGTCTTAATCTCCTTGTGGAGTAAGAATATCCTGTTTATAAAATTGTCTGGAAGTACACTTTACATTAGTTCAAGACAGGGAGTATGTACACCTTTGTAAATGTTAATACGTAGTTTCTAGGTACTGATGCATTTTTTTTCTTTTAAACATTTTTGGGTTTTTTTGGGGGGGGTGCTGGTATCTTGTATCTGGGTTTACTGTAGCCATACTTGCACATCATTAATAAGAATGTCAAGGTAGCAGAGGTCCTACTTTTTTTTTCTCAGATCCAATATTTCACTATCGTGTCGTACCAAACTCATATTTCTCACATTTCCTGTTCCCATTTGGTGATTATATGTTCCCTACTGCTGTTGTAACAAATTACTGCAAACTTAGTGACTTGAAGCAACATAAATTGATTATCTAACAACTCTGGAGGTCAGATCCCGAGATGAGGTCTTAACGGAGATGAAATCAAGCAGTTGGTGGGGCTGAGTAGCCTGGAGACTCCGGAGGGGAGTCCATTCTCTTGTCTTTTCCAGCTTTTAGAGACTGCTGGCATTCCTTGGCTTGAGGTCCATCAGAACCAGGTTCAGACACGGCAGGGATGTTGGAATTACCAGACTGTGAACGTGAAGAAAGCACAATTCATTAATAGCCAAGAAGTGGGAACGATCCAAATGCCCCAAAAGTTTTGAATGGATACATGTGGTGTATCCGTAGAGCGGAATGTGCAGCCCCAGGACAAAGAGACGGACGTACTGATGAGGGAAGTGCGGATACACGCCTTTCCGGCGGCAGCTGCCGCGGGGCCGCGGGGCCGCGGCGCCAGGAGCGCCCGGCCTTGATGCCTCCCCGAGTCAGGGGCTGATTACGGGGGAGCGAGGCCTTGTCTGGACCCGAGAGGCGCGGTGGGGCCGCGTTCTGCAGCCGGGTCGCCAGATACCCCGGCGGGCGGAGGTGGGCGTCTGCCCGTGGGCAATAAGCGCGTTTCTCCCACTTTATTTCTCCCTTTCACTGATTTCTTTCAAAGGTATTTTGCTGGAAAAATATCCTGCAATTCCCAGAACTCCTGCCCTCAGGGTATCTGCGCCGGCGGCGAGGCGCCCCGGGCAGAAGGGGACCCGCGCCGTTTCTTCTACAGGCGCCGTGGGCGCCCCGACGTCCGCGGCGCTGAGGCCCCGGAAGTGACGTCACGCGCACAGCGCCGGCCCCGCGCGGCGCGGCGCGGAGCAGCCCGGCCGGCCGGCGCGCGCGCAGCCATGGACGCTCTGGAGCGAGTCGTGTGAGTGCGCGCGGCCCCTCACCCGGGTCCCGTCCGGGAGGAGCCCCGATGGCGGGAAGACGGGAAAGCCCTGTTCCTCCTCGTAGCCTCTGTCCCCGGCCCGGATGGGGCCGCTCCGCCTGGCAGCCCGGGTCTCGCTCTGTCCTCGCCGCCTGCAGGGCGACGGAGAGCGGGGGCGCGGGCGGCGGTGGCCCAGGGGCGCGGGGGGTGGCCCGAGGGCTGCGGGTGGCCCGGGGCGAGGGCCGTTCCGGCCCTGGCCCGTCCGAGGCGCTGGTTTCCGGATGCTAGGAGCGGGGTGCCAAGGAATCGGATGGGCCTGGTGGCAATCTGGGCAGGTCCGCGTGAAGCCCCGTGGTCTGGGCCGTTCGCGCCCCTTCTGTGTTCCCTGTGGCACCGCGTTCCTGGTTAGTCTGAACTTCATGGGTCGTGAGGACCTCGTGCACCAGTGTAGGTGAAGCCCCCGCTCCAGCGCGTGGAAGTGCCCATTACCTTTTCCTTTCGACCTTGGACCCTTCTCTGAGTCACCCTTAAGCGATGTCTGTTACATTTGTCCAGAATATATTTATTGATCCCCTAAATAATCCTGCTGTTACTTGCTTTGGTTTTCTTGTGTTTTATCTGGGGTAACATAGTCCAAATAACAGGTTTTTCTTTTAATCATTAATTCAGAGATTTTTGTGCATCTGCAATATTCTTCTAGTTATGGGGACTGCAAAGACGACTAAGATTACAGTCTAATTGGGAGACAAACGTCTACTAAAACATATAAGGTGTTATTTGCATTAGTTGCTGGTTAGTGAGAAGTCACAGACCACATGGAACATAGAGCCTATAGCACTTTTATTGCCATGTGGACACAGTAAATGTGTCTTGATTTAGTAAGTCGTGTGTATATTAACCAGTAAAGATTAAAGCTTATATGTGCTTGACGTTTTATTTGGAGGAGAATTTTTCAGTCTACATAGTGAATTAACAGTGTGTATATTCTGCTTCTCATTTCCTTTCCAAAGTGTCCAAAGGACTGGAAGAATGAGGAAGGGTCATAGTTATTTAAGAGAGGAGATGGCAGGAAACTATTGGGAAAGCATCATGCTCACTGTAGTGGAAGCAGAGGTGAAGTGCTTTTTCTGACAGAAATGTATAAATACATTTTATTGTCCCGTCACATAAAATCAGAGTAATGGATTTTTTTTTCTCTTCGTATTTTGCAGGATGATTGGTTTAGGTGAGTTTTTTAATTTGGCTCATTTGAATTGGCCTACTTACAAGCTATGTGACTTTGGGCAAATTACCTCTCTAGCCTCAGTTGCCTCATCTGTAAAATGATAATTTTACCCCTCTCATAGGGTCTGTTAAGGCTGAATGGAGTGACTCTGTAAAAACGTGTCCTGCGTTATTACTCCTCTTTGGTGGCAGTAATGTTGCAGGGGGATACTGTTTACTTCCTCGCAGGCGCTGTGGTCTTAAACCTGGATGGAAGGTCTGCAGTAATTAGCCTTCCTATGTTTAGTAACTACCCACAGGTGGAGCGGAGCTGGTGTGTGTTTCTTTGTGTCAGGGGGCAGAGCACAACTCTATGGCTTGAAAACTGAAGAAAAAATAATAGGGCAAAAACAATAGTATTTACTTGAGGGCCCCCTCTTTTTTTAAGTCAAAAAAGGTTTCGAAAAAGCAGTAAAAAATGAATACTAGGGATATAAAAAATTGAAAGCCTCTTTAAAAAACCAAAAGCTAATAATGAACACTTATTTAACAATAACTGAATATCTTGTCTTAATACCTCCCTAAAATGTAAGATTTTGTTTAGTGGTGGAATCCTGATAAACATTATGTAGTGTCTCTTGATATTTAAGATTGTGTAATCATTGTCATCGTTTTGTAATATAAGGAAAATATTTTAAGTTATGATTTCTGATTTTCTGAACAGAAAACCCAAAACGAAAAGAGCTAAGAGATTTCTTGAGAAGAGAGAACCAAAACTCAGTGAAAATATTAAAAATGCTATGCTGATTAAAGGGGGAAATGCAAATTCAACTGTGACGCAAGTACTTAGAGATGTGGTACGTATATATACTTATTTTTAAAATGGTATTGAAATCACTGTGGGAGATTCCCAGCATTCAGCTTGAGCTGCGGGAGACATTCATCGGCGAGTTTGCCTTGACTGAAGAACTGCTGGCCTTGGAGAGAAGCTGAAGTTGGGGGTTACTTGCCTTGCCACGTACTGTGCGTGGTGTAGGGATTCCCAGTTTATAAGGCAGGCCCTCCCTGCAGTGAGCTTTGTGAGGGAGACAGACACATAAAAATCACTGTGCACCACGTGCTTGCACAGGGTAGCACAGGGTAGGATGGGTGGCAGTTAAAATCCCACACCCTTAAGCTTCATCTTGAAGGAGGATCCAGAGCATGAAGGGGGCTGGGGCACAGAAGGGCCTCCAGGCCAAGGAAAAGGGGGGTGCAGAAGGGGGCATGGAGGGGCGTGATGCCCTTGGGACCCCCAAGGGGTCCGGGATGGCTGAGGGAGCGCGGGCCCCTGGTGGCTGCAGAGCAGGGGTTGCCCAGAGGCATGGAGTTGAGCTTTATTCTGAAAGCTCAGGAGCGACTGGAAGATCGGCAGTGAGACAGGACCGGTTTGATCAGTTGGACTGGAGAGGACTGAGAGCCGACGTAGGAAGCTGCGCCATTGCTGTCTGCTGGGTAGAGAGCGTCTGCACTCGGATGGTAGCAGTGAAAGTGAGAGATGAGCAGAGTCGGTGTCGAGGGTAGAAGAGTTTGGGCTGAGCGAGAAGTGTGGCTTGACCAGGTTTCTGGCGTGGGTGCCTGTTGAGTGATGTGCTCTCTGGAACGTATCAGGTGGAGCCGCTTTGGAGGGAAAAGTGATCTGTGCAGTTTAGGGCGTGGAATTGCAAAGATGAAAGCTCTTGTGTTTCTACCTCTGTGGCCTGGTGTCTGGCCTAGTGTCTGGCATGTAGTAAGTGCTCAGTAAATGTCTCCTCGGGGATTGAAAGGCATGGCCTGTGGAGATACCTAGAGGGTGGTTAAACATTAGGCCTTGAGCAGATAGATTCTTTTGGTTAAGTTGGCTAAACAACTGAGTAGATTTTATTTATTCATTCATTCATTCATTCATTCAATTTATTTATTATTTTTTTAGGAGAGCAAGTGAGAAGCTTTTATTTAGAGAGAAAGCAAGAGGACAGCTCCTGGCTCATGCCAGGAGGGATCAAGAGAGCCGGGGGTGGTGCGCTGTCTAGAGGTTTTATAGGCGGCTGAGAGACACAGGGCTAGGGACGTACACCTGCTAAGTGGTCCCAAAATGTTTATCTTTGAAGAGACATCAGCCGAGGTGATTTTAAACTTAATAAATCCCCTATCCTTGTTAAACAAGATAGTTCAGGTGCCTGTGTGTCCCATGTGTGCCCTTCTTTTCTGTGTGCCTGAGCGTCGTCATGTCGAGGGGATACTGCCCCGGTCCTCCCAGTGTCCTGTCAACAGAACGACCCTCCGTGTGTGTGTGAGCGCCAGGAGCACACGGAGGTCAGATCATGACAGTCGTTGGCGCTCACTGGTGAGCCGTCAGGAGAAGGCGGTGATGTTCATCACAGACACCGAGGCAGGGAGACATCGGTCAAGGGTCGTCCAAAGTCTTCGCGTTCAGAAAGGCAGACTGCAGTGGCCCGTTCCCTTCGTTCACCGGCCCTGGCAGTTGGCCGGCGATCCTCTCACCTCGGATTTCATTGTTCCCCGCTTTCCCCCTTCTCCCAGTGCCTTGGACCGTCGTCCCTCCTTGGGGCAGAGCGGGACCGGCCGCACAGGGTGGGCGGGAAGGAGCGGGACAGAGGGGAAAGGAAGGCTGACCACAGAGCCGTCCCAGGGCCGCGCACCCTGGCTGGCACTCTGGTTGCCGCCGCCGTGGCCCTGTCTCTGCTTGTGTGTCCGGATGGCATCGTTCAATTCCGTCAGCCTTTCCTAACAGGATTTTTTTTCTTTCTGCTCTTCTTCCTACTCTCAAATTGTTTGCCTGGAGAGACTGGAATGGTAGAATTTACAGAAATGAGGGAAATCATTTAACTTTGTTAGACTGTTGAAAGGGCATAGAGACTTTAAATGAGGAACGCCCAGTGTAAGTTAAATCATAAGCTTATGTTGCACGTTGTCATAAGTGATTGAAAGGGAGGGAAGCAGAAGACATCTGAACAGGATTCAGGGACTTTTGTGGGTAATTTTATGTAAATGTCTGTTACAGTGCTTCATTTTTACCTGTGCTTTTCAGTGTTTTGTTCTGAAAACTATAAATTATGCTTTACAGTATGCATTGAAAAAACCATATGGGGTTCTGTTTAAAAAGTAAGTTGTTTTTTTTTTTACTTTATATTCTTCTAATATAAAAGTAATAAGCATCTTATGGAAAATGTAGAAAAGTGTTTGTTTAAAAACAGTTCTTTAATATAGCTACTAATACTTTAAAATATCTTTCCTGTCTAGTGTTTTCATTTGTATTGAATTTCTTATATATTTGTAATCATAGCATATTAATAAATATATCATTTTGAAATAATTATAGACCTGCAGACAAGTTGCACAGATAGTGGAGTTCCCATATACCCTTCACACAGCTTCTCTTTTTTTTAAATTGAAATATAGTTGATATATATGAAATGCAGTATTATATTGGTTTCAAGTATACAACACAGCGGTTCAGCAGTCACACACATGAAACCCTCACCCCAACTAGTGCAGTTCCTGTCCACCTAGAACCAGCTTCTCTTAATGTTACCTCTTGCATGACCGTAGTACAATTATGGAAAGGAGGAAGTCAACATTGTTACAATAATGTTGACTGAATCACAGACTTCATTCGGTGGGGTTTTCCTCTGGTACCCCCCGCTGTCTTCCAGGATCTCACACTGCATTTGCTTGTCATGTCTCCGTAGGCTCTTCCACTTTGTGACAGTTTCTTGGTCTTCCCTTGTCTTTGATGACTTTGACACTTTTGACAAGTACATGTCAGTTATTTTGTAAAATATCCTTCAGTTTGGATTTGTCTTCAGTTTCTTGTGACTAGATTGAGGTTACCCTTTTTTGGCAAGAATACCACGGAAGTGAGGTGCTCTCAGTAAACTATACCAGAGGTTACATGACGCTTTTCTGTTGGCGGCATTAACCTCGGTTGAGGTGGTGTCTGCTGGGTCTCCACTGTAAAGTTACTATTTTCCCCTTTGTAATTAATGAATGTTTGGAGGAGATACTTTGAGACTACACAAAGACCATGCAAATAATCCTCTTTCTCCTCAAACTTGCTTATTAATTTTAGCATCCATCAGTGGATCTTGTCTACAACAGTGATTACTGTGGTGGTTCTGATGGTGCTTTTCTACTTCCCTCATTCCTTCTACATTTATTAATTGGAATTCTTTTAATACCTACGTGCTGTACCTTGACCAAAGGCCCCACATAATCTGCACTGTGCGTGCATCTCTGACTTGTGCCCCACTATTATCCCTTTGCTCGCTAAGCTCTGGTGACACTTGCCTTCTTTCTGTTCCTTTAGTCAAAGCTTGTTTCCATCCCAAAACCTTACCTATTCTGTTTCCTCTTCCTACAATACTCTTAAGCTCAAAACTTTTCCATGAATAACTCATTAGGTCCTTTTCAAGTCTCAGCTCATTTTCTACTCTTCATACTAACGCAGTATCCTGTTTCATTCTTGTCACATCAGTCATTACTTTTTGAAATTGTTTTGTCTCTAGAATGTAAGCTCCATGCAGCAAGGGCCTTACTTGACGTGGGGCTATGGTATCGCTGAGTCCCGGACGCGCCCATACGTCATAGGCACCGAGTAAACACCTGATGGGTGGATACCCTCCCAGCTCTTTTTTTCGGTCATCTGAGTATAAAATTATGTTCACTTAGTATATTTCTTGATTGTTAAGAGTGAATTACTTGTTAAGATTACTAAATTTGGGTCACCTTTTACAATTTTTAAAAATATTTTTAGGAAAAATATTACAAGACCATTTGAGGATCAGACATCATTGGTAAGTACAAGAATCTTTGTAATTTAAGAGAACATATAAATGATAATTCAGACTAATTCATTTAGTACTCCTAATTTATGATTTTTTTTTAATTCGACATCATCTGTGAGGGAATATTGATGTAAAATGGAGGGAAAATAAGACTTATACTTTTAAAAATATGGCTATAGATCTTACATTGCACTGTGTATGCAAGTTTCTTGGTCTTCCCTTGTCTTTGATGACTTTGACACTTTTGACAAGTACATGTCAGTTATTTTGTAAAATATCCTTCAGTTTGGATTTGTCTTCAGTTTCTTGTGACTAGATTGAGGTTACCCTTTTTTGGCAAGAATACCACGGAAGTGAGGTGCTCTCAGTAAACTATACCAGAGGTTACATGACGCTTTTCTGTTGGCGGCATTAACCTCGGTTGAGGTGGTGTCTGCTGGGTCTCCACTGTAAAGTTACTATTTTCCCCTTTGTAATTAATGAATGTTTGGAGGAGATACTTTGAGACTACACAAAGACCATGCAAATAATCCTCTTTCTCCTCAAACTTGCTTATTAATTTTAGCATCCATCAGTGGATCTTGTCTACAACAGTGATTACTGTGGTGGTTCTGATGGTGCTTTTCTACTTCCCTCATTCCTTCTACATTTATTAATTGGAATTCTTTTAATACCTACGTGCTGTACCTTGACCAAAGGCCCCACATAATCTGCACTGTGCGTGCATCTCTGACTTGTGCCCCACTATTATCCCTTTGCTCGCTAAGCTCTGGTGACACTTGCCTTCTTTCTGTTCCTTTAGGCAAAGCTTGTTTCCATCCCAAAACCTTACCTATTCTGTTTCCTCTTCCTACAATACTCTTAAGCTCAAAACTTTTCCATGAATAACTCATTAGGTCCTTTTCAAGTCTCAGCTCATTTTCTACTCTTCATACTAACGCAGTATCCTGTTTCATTCTTGTCACATCAGTCATTACTTTTTGAAATTGTTTTGTCTCTAGAATGTAAGCTCCATGCAGCAAGGGCCTTACTTGACGTGGGGCTATGGTATCGCTGAGTCCCGGACGCGCCCATACGTCATAGGCACCGAGTAAACACCTGATGGGTGGATACCCTCCCAGCTCTTTTTTTCGGTCATCTGAGTATAAAATTATGTTCACTTAGTATATTTCTTGATTGTTAAGAGTGAATTACTTGTTAAGATTACTAAATTTGGGTCACCTTTTACAATTTTTAAAAATATTTTTAGGAAAAATATTACAAGACCATTTGAGGATCAGACATCATTGGTAAGTACAAGAATCTTTGTAATTTAAGAGAACATATAAATGATAATTCAGACTAATTCATTTAGTACTCCTAATTTATGATTTTTTTTTAATTCGACATCATCTGTGAGGGAATATTGATGTAAAATGGAGGGAAAATAAGACTTATACTTTTAAAAATATGGCTATAGATCTTACATTGCACTGTGTATGCTTGCAAGTATATTGATAGAATCTTTAAAAATCAAATTACATTCTAAGTGCGTAATTAATGGACTGTCAAAAGGAAGCTTGTTTTGGATGTGTTTTTATAAAGCGAGTAAGGGTTTTAAAAATTTGACTTCTTTCATATGTTTTTAGAACAAGAAACAAACCTGAATCATTGCTAACCGCTGACAGTGGCTTTCTTAGGCGGATTTCTGTTCGAGGGTATCGGCAGCCAGAACTGAATGAGAAAGGCCAGTGAGCGGGCAGAAGGCAACAGGCAGCTCGTAGTGCAGTGGACGGGCGCTCTTCGAGGGTGCGGCTACTCTGAAGGGGGCCTCGCTTAGGGCTGAGCGGCTTAGACTGTTCAAACTGACTGAAAATCGGGATGTGACTGTTCTCTTGACAGGGACACTCTTGGTTTTTTTTTTAAGTTAATATAAAGAACTTTTGGATAGAATCTCAATAATTCAGATACACATCTTAATGTGGCAACTAACTGCAATGAAAATTACAAATATTAAGAAAAATATTGGCAAAATGAATGTTCAGTTTTTTCTAAAGTTACTTTCATTGCAGTCCTGGATTTTTCAGTCATTTGTGGAAGAGATCGTGAAAGTAAAAACATGGGGTCTGACCCAGAAATCTGTCTTCCACATGGCGCCTACCAAGGGCTGGCTCTGTGTCGCGGTGCCCTGATGCTCTCGGGTGGCGGCCACTTTGCGGCAGCGTTAGGGCGGAGTGTCTGTAGCATTCATTCTGTACTTCTTTTTCAATCCAGTGTTGACAAGACAGCTTTTCTTACGTTTGAAATTGTGACGTTTCCTGTTTTTGATCTCCCCCCTCCACAGATAGAGATTTCCTTGACTGTAATAGACCTCAGACCACCGCAGCTCAGAATGGCTGTGGACACAGTGGCCATATTGGGGCTGTGGTTGGACTGCCCGTCCCTGCGATAGCACGTTCTCACTACAGGCTAGGAGTGGTGCGACAGGAGAGCTGGCAGACATACCTCCTGGGGGCCAAGTCCCTATTTCTCTGAAGCCCATGAGCTAAAAATGGATTTACATTTTAAAGTTTTTTTTTTAAAGGTGTATAAAAAGTCTAAAATATTTATTCTCGGGCCTCTTGGAGGTAATTGGACTGCTCTTGCTGTAGAACTTTAACAGAAAGCATACTTGTAGGGAAGGGTGACAGACACACTGCATGCATGTACGGCAGTCGGCAAGACCTCTGGGGTGTTAGCCATGAGACTGTAAAAAAACATTGAGCACCTTCTTTGTGCCAGGCGTGGTATAAAGTACCTTCACGTGGCCCATGCAGGTTTTTGCAGGAGGTGTTACTGTGACATTTCCTCTTTTCGATTCTCACAAAGGCTGACTGGATCCCATAGGAAAAGGTAGAGCCAGGCCTCTTGGACTGGGACTCTGTCCTCTACAGGGGCGTGGATGGGAGGGCCTAGCTGTTCGTCCTGTGTGCTTCCGTCTAAACCCTGGGTGACTGATGACCGACTAGGCAGCAGCTGTAATTCTGTGCTGAGATTGGGTATCTCAAAGTATGTGGGATGTAGAGTCTAGGCGCCAGGTGATGGTTGCTATCTGGGATTGCAACCTCATAACTATTTCTGCTCCTCTCAGATGTGTCATGGATACCAGGCTTTTAAGAGCCCTAGGGAGGAGATACCTTATTGGTAGAAACATCATAGACCTGTCAGTTAATCCTTGCTGTGTATGCAACATGGCACTAGACATGGCTGCAGTGGGGCGGGGTCCTAGGGCAAGGTCCCTGTGGGTGGAAGTTGGCAATGAAAAGTAGCCATTGGCATTATAACTCAGGAGTCCATTACAAACATCCGAAAATGCGTATTTGTGTAGGTCCCTTATATATGCATGTGTATTTTAAATGCTGAGATGTACCGTTGATGAAAGCAGAAATGGCCCATGGGTAAATTTAGCACTTGTTCAGTAAAGAAAATCCTTGGTGTGCTGTTCCAAATAGACACACAGCTGAAAAAAAGGATCTCATTTTATTTATTAACCTAAAAGTTTTAACGTATTTTTAGTCTTGAATGTATCTTTTCCTTAGGTAACCCACAGCAGAAAATTTGAAAAGCTAGCAGTAAAGTCTTTTCCTCTGTTTATTCCTATCTAGTTCATTGTTTTCATTAACTTCCACTGAAAAAAACTGACATTCTTTTTAGTTGAGAGAGAAAATTCTTAGATTTATGCATTGATTAATGAGAATTTGTTGGTTTACAGGAATTCTTCTCAAAGAAGTCAGATTGTTCTTTATTCATGTTTGGTTCCCATAATAAGAAGCGGCCAAATAATCTAGTAATAGGTAAGTATCATTTACATTCCAATATTTTCATTTCTAGAGTTGGTTCTGTGGTTTGGATTGATGGTTTTGAGGCTTCAGGAGTGACCGTAAGCTTTAAACTAGTTTTTTTTTTTTTTGCTCGCTAGTTTGCATAGAATTTTTTTATCTGCTAGTCTGCAGGCAAAGAATAGGCATGTAAATATTACCCTACTTAATGCTGTAGATATTTTTCTGATATGAAAGATATATCCTAAATCAGTATTAGAGTTAGGGAAAAGAAGGTAGTATTCCTACCCACATAAATTAACCTTTCCCTAATAAATATTTGTTTAATGAACACATGGGAAGAAGAACCTTTGCTAGGTGTACTGAGACGTGGCCAGGCACGCTCACTGGCACAGGCAAGCCCTTTGCCCTCTGTGGGACTGACTGACTCTTTTATAAAGTCAGGAAATTTGGCTAAATGATCTCTAAGATCCTTTTCAGGGCCAAGATCACAACCGACTATTCTAGGGAGAGTTGAAAATAAGAAGGAAGGGCACATGTTTGTGAGTTATTAGGAGAATGAAAAGAGGCAGACATTAAGACATTTAAACATGTAAATAAATGGCTACATACATAAGGCAGCTGCTTAGGAAAGTAAGTGCTTAAAAGAAAACGTGTTTTCCTTCCAGGTCGTATGTATGACTACCATGTGCTGGATATGATTGAATTAGGTATCGAGAAATTTGTCTCTCTAAAAGATATTAAGGTAAGACTGATGGTAAAGAGTAAAAGCATTTCGTGATGTTGCTCTTGAGGCAACAGTGACATCTTGTGGATAGAGTGCTGACCCAGGTTTGTGGCTTGAATGGGAAGGAATTTCAGGTGCTCTTAACAAGCCGTTTCGTTTCCCTTCACTTCAAGAAGAAGAGTGAATTTATAGCATGTGATACGTGTGTGGATCTTCTGGCAGCTAATTTCACAGTGGTTATTAATTCTTGTCTAGGCCCATAGTGTAAATGCTGTCCTCTGAGAATTACTACAGCACCTATTTTAGGGAACCTCAGAAATATCAGAATTTTCAAAATGAGCCTGTTCTAAACCTAGGAATCTTTGGTTGATCCCACAGTATTTTGGGTGCTGACCACCAGATTGCCAGTTTAGCCTTTCCCTTGATGACTCGCATCTTTGTGAATCCTCCGTTTGAATGGGATTATGAAATAGAAAGTAAATAGTCTCAGAAAAGCAAGAAAATCCTAACTCAGCTCCTGGGTCCAGATTAGGTGGGGCTTCTGCTTCCTCAGAACTCTGCTTTTGGCTTAATTCGTTCTGTCCAATACAGTATTTCACGTAGACCTCAGCTACCCTGTGTGAGGCTGAAATTGTTTTCCTAGGCTACAGATTTAGAGACTGAGGCCCAGAAGGACCGCTGCTGGCCTAGCATCATGCGTAGAGTACATGGTGTGCCCGGGATTCGGAAGCAAGGGCACTACAGTTTGTACCAGGGAGCTGCCCCGCTGTTCCAGGTCACAGAGAGATGATGGCAAACAGAAAGAGGACACGCCCTCCAGCTTCCCTGTGGGTCTGAGCAGGGCACTCAGCAGATCCTGCATCTGCCTCCCCGGGTACCGGGCAGAACGGTGGCCTGAGATTGGATTCAGAGGCAGAACACTTGGGTTTGAGGCCCGTCTTGGCCGTTTAGATGACATTTGTGACCTGACAAGTCAGTTACTTCCCTGACCCCTGATTGCAGTCACGTATTAAATAGGTATCACAACAAAGAAGGAGGTAGGACGTGAGAAAATGCTGACCCGTGTGGACGGTATATGGGAGGGGCTTTGTACAGTGTGTAAAGCGATGCTCTGTCGTAGTGGAAGCCGTCACTTCCTGCAGTCCCCCTGCGGGGCTGTGCCCGAGTGCCGGCGTGAGCGGCACGAGCCCTCTTCCCGCTACGTCCCCGCCCTTGCCCTGCCCTGTGCCCTGCCTCGCGCGTGCCTCCCCCGCCTCTCCAGCCACCGCCAGAGCAAGAAAACGCTTCCCTGTCCGCGCCGCCCCCACACCGGACCGCAGAACCGTACTCGTCCGGTACCAGTTTTCACTTGCGGATGTATCCATAACAATAAAATTCATTACCTGGTGGGACTGCGCTGTCCTTGGCAGTCCCTGCATCGCCTGGTAGGCAGCCCTTCACTTGCACCGATTAGTCGGCCCTACGCGTACATTTTTAGTTTGTTTTGGAGTTGTGTGCTTTGTTATATTCTCCCTTCAGATTTATTTCCTCTTTACCTCTACCACCTCCTCATTTTTAAGACACCGTCACCAGTTACTTCTTTTCTCCCTTGCCCACGTCTATTCCCGAGTCTCATCCTTCCGTGAACTCTTGAGCAGCAGGTGATAGGACTCGACTGGGAAACTGAGCGGTCAGTCCAGGAGCCTGTTCTCTAAGACGGCGCGACTTCTCGGGAGGGTGGTTCTCCGTAACATAAGCCCTGACGAATGACATGATTACGATTTACGGCTAGTAGGTTTTATTTTAGATACGACAAAATACATTGCACCTGCCTGGGGGTATTTTATTTGAAAAGTTTGTGTACAGTGTATAAGAATTAATTCCTTTTTTTCTCTGTTCAAAAAAACTATCAAAAGGCCAGTACTTCATGTAATTTTTAGTGTGCTGTGTCACAGTATTTATATAGCATTTTGAATTTTTAGAGCCTATCAGACGGTTCAAATAAAACTCAGCTGTTAACAAGTCCGTCTAGCTCAGGGCGTTCACACCGTGGGAAGTGCCAGTGACCTGCGTGTTGAGCACTGTTCCGTGGTTTGTTCATCACACTCTTCGTCGTGCGCACCCTGGGTCGTGACCTAAACTAGTGTTTCTTGTAACTGCGCATTGCGGTCAGGAAGGCTTGGAAGCCAGTGTTGTAGCTGATGTTGCCTGCCCCCCTCTTGCCCGCCGTGCGCCTGCACAGCCCTCTAGACCTCGGGGTCGCAGCAGGAGGGACGGGCAGGCGCAGATGGAACACGAGGCGCGGGTCTGGAAGGCCCGTTCAGGCCGCCCGTCAGACAGCCCTTGGGTGCGCCCTCTAAGCTGTGGGCAGTCGAGGCCCAGGGTTCGGACGCAGAGAGTGTCAGGAGCGCTCGTGGCGAGCGGGCGAGCAGCAGGCTGCCTCGGGCCCTCGGGGAAGGAGCTTTTCGTCTTTCCTGGATCTGGATAAACCTTGATTGATGTCGGAGCTGAGGTGCTGGAATCAGTGGAATCCTCACAGCAGCCATTCACCTTTGTCCATAAATTAATGAATTTTTCTCATTTGATTTTTTCTTCTTTCACTTTGGTGACTTTTAAGTCCTCTTAACATCTCATTCTTCTTCGTATATAAAATCTAGAACTGGACAAAATACTTTTTAAATTTAGAGGTCAACCCTGCTGAGTAAGGATTGCCCACTACCTTCTATAGCTTGTATGAAATTGTATTGCTTCCCGTGTAAATGTTCAGTTGGTACTTTAGTTTGGCAACATTTAAAAGTACCGTCATGTGAGACGGCAGGAATGGCACAGTGGTGCACAGGACTCAAAGGCACTAAATTTATTTGACTGGATACTGGCTGTTAAAGGACTATGTTCGTTTGTAGCAAGTTTAGCTTTTCCTTTATTCTTCAGTAGAACAGTGTTGAAAGGTAGCCCACCCCCTCCTTTGACCACTTAGTAATTTGGCCAATTTACTAAGGGAGTGGAACCAAAAATTATTTCTTAGCATAAAAGCCTGTAAGTTTTAAAGTCCCAACTCTTGTTTTAAGTCTAAAATCAATATTCATAGACATAGTTGTAAGACATTTAAGAAAATGTGAAATAATTGTTTGTATATAAGTAATAACTACTTTAAAATCAGCACATAAATGGTTTAGATCTTTACAAGTTTTTTTTCATTTCATAGAATAGTAAGTGTCCTGAGGGAACAAAACCCATGTTGATCTTTGCGGGTGATGATTTCACAGGGACGGAGGACTACCGAAGGCTGCAGAGCCTCCTCACCGGTAAGGACTGACCCGAGGCTGGCTCGCTCCGGCGGCCTCAGCTCGCTGTGGGCGGCACTGCGCTCTAGTCACAGCTTCTCGTTTTGATCTCTATTTTCGTTTCCATGATTTTCTTTAGTCCACACTAGCAGTGGGTGAGAATGAAGGGATATTATATTCTATAGGTCATTATTATTTTTTGATGATATTGCCCTATTTATATGGCTTTACACTTTGTAAAATGCTTGCACCCATCTGTCATTACTAGATCCAGTTTAGAAGATTAAAGACTGTAAGATTTGTTGTACATCACCCACCTCCCACTCAGAATCCTTACTAGTCTCTCAGTCTGATACACAAGGCTTTTCCCGTTATGACCCCATACAGTTTGCTTTGTTGATCTCTTCCAATTTCCTTCCTCCCTTTTCTATTAAAAAACTGGCCTATTGAAAATATATTCACATTCCTGTTGTCTTTTCTGATTTCATTCTTACTTAGCCAGTTTCTCGCATTCTTGCAAGTTTCAAGCCAAGTTTATTCTGCAGGAAACCCTCAAAGGCCTTCCCAGCTCCTTTTATTTCATTATCATTGTCACCCTAAGTGTCAGGTGTGTCCTGGCTGCCTTACATGTGGCTTCATTCTCAGAGTAGCCCCGTGAGGTTTCGTGGATGACCCACTCCTCGTGAGCTCTGCTGGTTCATGGTTCCCGGAACGGCTGCTTTCTTTCCTGTGTGTTCACAGTCTCCGCTAAAATCTAATACATAGTTTCCGTTGTCTAGGACTGACATTAAATTTACCAATTTTAAACCAGTTTCTCTCCTCTTTTGTGAAAAGCTGGTATTATTGTTCTCTGTGATTTCTTAAAGGTTACTAATACTCACTAGTCTGTGCTTACATCTGCCGGCTCCTTTCTAACCCGGGGGAATTAGTTTGTCCCTACAGATGAGAATTCTTCTGACACTCAGCAACATTTTCTCAAGTTTAATAAGTTACTGTTTGGGATTTTTTTTGTACCACTCTTATAACAGGCTTTGCTACACTTGTTGGTTGCTGCTCTTTTGGGTGTTTATGTAATTTGCCCTGGATGACATTTGAAAGCTCAGTGGGGGTATATATTATCAGTAATTGTATGCATGCTCTTTATAAATCTGAGCCACCCAAAAATGCCTTGTAGGCAGACACATTGCTTTCATTTTTCCTTATTGGGTTTATTTATGGTCTTACTGTTGGGATTATAATTTTCTGAATTTCTCATTCCTCTTATTAATAATGGCTTTTTTTAAAATTTAATATGAGCCCTACTGTTTCCTGTTTAATCCTTACTGAATCTCTCTGAGTTTGGTGACATTCCACTTTACAGACAAAAAAATGGAGACTGAGAGATGTTAAGAGCTATTAAACTGATGAGACAGAATTGAAACCCGGGGCCTGAGCCTACTATGGGCCTCTGCGTGCCCGGGTGCTGAGGTGGTGACCCCCTGCAGAGCCTCTGCTGTTGTTCCCTGTGATCTTCATGATTAAAATCATACAAGAATGACAGTGACCAACATCTTCTCCTTTCAACATTGCACACCCCAAGATACCAAGGATGTTTTTTAGCCGAGAGTCTATTACTTGCACTCCATTGGCCCAGATTTCAACAGAAAGGATTTTGCTTTTGTTTAAATGTTTATAAAAATTCTACCTTATTATTTTGTACTTCCACTAGGTGGCAGGAATAACCACACAATACACAGTGAGAACCAGAGAGGAAACTGGGGAAGGAAGAAAGGTAGAAGGATGGAGTGAGATTGTCGGGCACCAGGGGAAGTTGAGTTTTTAATATAAATACGAAGTAAGATAGTGCAGACGTCTGGGTGTATGTTTTGTGTTCAAAAACAAAAAAAAATCTTACCTAACTTCACCGACCTCGCTTATGTACGTTCTTTCATTCAGGATGAAATTCTGGGTTCTTAGTGACTCCACGTAATTATGCACTAACTTCAAATTGGGCTACACACACGAGAGTCTCAGGGTGAAATACCAGTATTGCTACTGGTGATCAAATGTTGAGCGCAGTTGAAGATTTGTCGTCGATTTTTTTGTAGTTGTTTGTCTATAAGATACAACCTTTTCAGGTTACGGATACAATCAAGTACACATTTAAAGTTTTAAAATTTGATGGGTGTTGCTGTGTGTATATGCCTGTGAAAACACTGCTATAGTCAGAGCCCTACCACCCCCTCAGAAATCCCCTTGTGCCCCTTTGCAGTCTGTCTGTCGCTTTTCTCTGTCCCAGGCACATGTGGATCTGCGCTCTCGTTGTGGACTCTTTGGTTTTCTAGGGTTGCAGGGAAATGGAGCCAGACAGTATGTGCTTCCACTCAGTGTGTTTTGAGATTCAGCCATGTCGTGTCCATCAATAGCTCATTTCTTCTTACTGCCGAAAGGCATTCCATTTCTGGCCTCTGCACAGTCTGTTGCTTTATCGCCTGATGGACATTTACGGTAATTCCAGCTTTTGATTTTTATCAGCAGAGCTGCTGTGAACATTTATGTACTAATTTTTGTGAGGACATGTGTTTTCTTCTCGGGTAAACACCTTGGAGTGGAATGGTTGGGTCATGTAAGTCATGTATATTTAACATTCTAAACTGCCACACTGTTCTCCAGCATGGCTGTGCCATCGTACGTCCCCATCACACCGTCTGAGAGCTCCAGTCGCTCTGCCTCCTTGCCAGTATTTTTAGGCCATTCTTTTTAGTTCTAGTTATTATTCTAATGGGTGTTAAATCCTGCCAGTAAAGTGTTGCCAAAGTCAGAGCTACAAAATGAAGTAGTGTTGTCTTTGCAGCGTTAATTTGCATTTCTGGATGACTATGATGCCTTTTTGTTATTAAGGTATCATGGATGTATAATATTACGAAGGTTTCATATGAGCAACATTGTGGTTACTACATTCACCCATATTATCGAGTCCCACCCCCCAAACTCCATTGCAGTCACTGTCTATCAGCATATTAAGATACTATAGAGTCACTACTTGTCTTCTCTGTGCTGTACTGTATGTTAATCATATGTTTTCTTCTAAGAGTTTTATGGTTTCATGACTTACATTCCGTTCAGGTGTTTGATCCATTTTGAGTTTACTTGTGTGTATGGGGTTAGACAATAATCCAGTTTCATTCTCTTGCATGTAGCTGTCCAGTTTTGCCAGCTATAAGCTGTCATTTCTCCATTGTATATCCATGGCTCCTTTATCATTTATTAATGGCCATATATGTGTGGGTCTGTATATGGGCTCTCTGTTCTGTTCCACTGGTCCATGGGTCTGTTCTTGTGCCAATACCAAATTATCTTGATTACTATGGCTTTGTAGTAGAGCTTGAGGTTGGGGAGCATAATCCCCCCAGCTTTATTCTTCCTTCTTAGGATTGCTTTGGCTTTTCGCAGTGTTTCGTGGTTCCATGTGAATTTTATAACTATTTGTTCTAGTTTGTTGAAGAATGCTATCAGTATTTTGATAGGGATTGTATTGAATCTGTAGATTGTTTTAGGCAGGATGGCCATTTTGACAATATTAATTCTTCCTTTCCGTGAGCATGGGACATATTTCTATTTATTGGTGTCTTCTTTAATTTCTCTCATTAGGGTCTTGTAGTTTTCAGGGTATAGGTCTTTCACGTCCTTGGTTAGGTTTATTCCTGGGCATTTTATTCTTTTTGATGAAATTATAAATTGATTGTTTTCCTGATTTCTCTTTCTGCTAGTTCATCAGTATATAGGAATGCAACAGATTTCTGTGTATTAATTTTGTATCCTGCAACTTTGCTGAATTCAGTTATTCTGGAAGTTTTGGGGTGGATTCTTTAGGGTTTTTTATGTACAATATCATGTCATCTGCAAACAGTGACAGTTTAACTTCTTCCTTACCAGTCTGGATGGCTTTTATTTCTTTGTTTTGTCTGATTGCCATGGCTAGAACCTCCAGAACTATGTTGAATAACAGTGGGGAGAGTGGGCATCCTTGTCTTGTTCTTGATCTTAGAGGAAAAGCTTTCAGCTTTTCACTGTTAAGTATGATGTTGGCTGTTGGTTTTTGTATATGGCTTTATTATGTTGAGGTACTTGCCCTCTCTACCCATTTTGTTGAGAGTTTTTATCATGAATGGTGTGTGGAATTTTGTCATATGCTTTTTCAGCACCTATGGGGATGACCATGTGATTTTTGTCCTTTTTGTTGATGGATTTTCGAGTATTGTACCATCCTTGCTTCCGTGTAATAAATCCTACTTGATCATGATGGATGATCTTTCTGATGTGTTTTTGAATTTGGTTTGCTACTATTTTGTTGAATATTTTTACATCTATGTTCATCAGGGATATTGGTCTGTAATTTTCTTTTTTTTATGGTGTCTCTGCCTAGTTTTAGTATTAAGAGTGATGCTGACCTCATAGAATGAGTCTGGAACTATTCTCTCCTCTTCTTCTTTTTGGAAAACTTAAAGAAGGATGGGTATTAGGTCTTCACTAAATGTTTGATAAAATTCAGCAGTGAAGCCATTCGGTACAGGTGTTTTGTTCTTAGGCAGTTTTTGATTGCCAATTCGATTTCATTGCTGGTAATTGATCTGTTCAGATTCTCTCTTCCTGGGTCAGTCTTGGAAGGTTGTATTTTTCTAAAAAGTTGTCCATTTCTTCTAGGTTATCTGTTTTGTTAGCATATAATTTTTCATAGTATTCTCTAATATTTATTTGTATTTCTGGTGTCCTTAGTGGTTTTTTCCTTTCTCATTTCTGATTATGTTTATGTGAGAAGACTCTCTTTTTCTTGATAAGTCTGGCTAGACTCATTTGTTCTTCTCTTTACAGTTTCATTAATTTTGATTTTAGACTGTTCACTTGGCTAGGGGTTTATCTATTTTGTTTATTTTCTTGAAGAACCAGTTCCTGGTTTCACTGATTCTTTCTGTTTTACTCTTTTCAATTTCATTTATTTCTGCTCTGATCTTTATTATGTCCCTCCTTCTACTGACTTTGGGCCTCATTTGTTCTTCTCTTTACAGTTTCATTAATTTTGAGTTTAAACTGTTCACTTGGGATGGTTTTTCTCTCCTGAGGTAGGCCTATATTGTAGTATTCTCCCCTCTTAGAATGGCCTTCACTGTGGTCCCACAGATTTTGGGGTGTTGAGTTGTTTTTATTTCCATATATTGCTTGATCTCTGTTTTTATTTGGTCATTGATCCATTGATAATTTAGGAGCTTGTTGTTAAACCTCCATGGTATTTGTGGGCTTGTTTTGTTTTCATAATTTATTTCTAGTTTCATACTTTTGGTCTGAGAAGCTGGTTGGACACAATTTCATTCCTTCTAAATTTACTGAGGCTCTTTTGTGGCCTAGTGTGTGATCTATTCTGGATAATGTTCTACATGCACTTGAGAAGAATGTGTATCCTGCTGCTTTTGGGTAGAGTGTTCTGTAGATGTCTGTTAGGTCCATCTGTTCTCATGTGTTGTGCCTTTTTTTTTTAATAATGTCTTTGAAAGAGCAGAAGTTTTTAATTCGTATGAAGTCTGTTTTATCCATTTTTTCCTTTAATTGTATGTTCTTACTGTGTTATGTTTAGAAATCTCTGCTTATTCCAAGATTGTAGAGATTTTTCTCTGTATTTTATTCTTGAAGTCTTAAAGTTTTAGGTTTGTGATCCATTTTGGGTTAATTGTTGTTTATGGTATGAGGTGTAATAGTCATTGTTCTTAAAGCCTTCTGTCTTCATTTTCCTTCTTTTTGTTACTTAAAGTTCGTGGGAAAAGCACATATGCCTGTAAGGTTTGCATTACAAAAGTTGTTTCAGGGGAGACTCGAATGTACATTTCTTGTTCCCCAGAATGACTATGATTTCAGTATTGCCACCATAACAAGTGGAGCTTTGTTAACTTGGCCACTGAAGGAGAGTCAGGGTTTGACAAAATCGTGGGAAACTTCTTTGTTAATTATAGTCAAAAAATAAATCAAAATACCTTGAAAAGTTACATACTTGGTTTATAAAAATTTCTGTGGGGGATTTTGTTTGGGGGAGGAGGGAAGGGTGCTGTATACATGTGCAGGCACACTTGTGTGTCTTTTAGCACATTAGGCTGTGATTTTCTTTTAACATGAGAAGCAAAGCAAATAATAAAAGGTGTGTACGTCTATACACATGGAACTAACTCACATCTGAAAGCTAATGGGAAGATGGAAGAAAATGCTGGGTGGATGCAGAAGGGGACAGACAGGGATCTCCTGGGTACATCACCTGCCTTGGGGCAGCTCTTCCAAGTAATTAAGTTGGATAAATCTTTATGTGTCACTTTTTTTAATCTAAATTTTATTTGTCTGTTTTCATTCAGCCTCCTTGGAGTTCAGTCATCTTAGGTGTAAACGAAGGGGCAGATCCGATTGCTGCCTCCAAACCTATTTCATTCGTGGGCCGCCTTTGTAACTTTAGCCAAGTCCAGTTATATCCATAGTGTTATCCACTGAAGATGTTTCTTTAAATTGATTCCTCTTTTTTTTTTACGTGAATGTTCATAGTAGTTTTATTTGTAATATTAAAAAATTGGAGAAAATCCAAATATTCACCAGTAGCTGAATAGGTAAACAAATTTTGAATTCTTTAGGGTTGCCAAATGAAGTATAGAATTTTCAGTAAAATTGAATTTCAGATAAACAATGAGTAATTTTTTAGTATACGTATATCCCAAGTATTATATGAAATATACTAAAGCATAAAATTTATACTTAAGTTTAGTATAAATACACTAAAAAATGTTTGCTGCTTTATCTGAAGATCAAAATTAACTGAGCTCCATGGTTTTTTTGTGTGTGATTTTTTTTTTGCATTTGCTAAATCTGGCAACACAAGGTAAATTCACATTGTGTGGAACACTGCTCAGCAATAAATAGGAGTGAATTATTGTTACGTGCAAAATGGATGAATCTCACAATGTTATGCTAGGTAAAAGAAGACAAACCAAAGAAGTACACACTTCAGTTACAGCAAGGCTGCAGGATACAAGGTTGATATACAAAAGTCAATCACTTTCTCATATATCAGCAATGAGCAACTGAAATTTGACTTTAAAACACAAGACCACTTACATTAGCACCCAAAAAAATGAAATACTCAGGTATAAGTCTTAACAAATATGTATAAGATTTGCATAAAGAAAAATACAAGACTCTGATGAATGAAATCAAACAAGAATTAAACAAATGGAGATATATTCCATGCCAAAATGTCTGTTCTTCCCAGCTTGATCTATAGATTCAATTCAGTGCCAGTCCAAAACCCAGCAAGTTATTTTGTGGTTATTTACAAACTGATTCTAAAGTTTGCATGGACAGGCAAGAGACTCAGAATAGCCAACACAATATTGAAAATTAGAGGACTGCACCATGTGACTCCATGACGTTGGTGGTACATTGATCAGGACAGTGTGGTATTGGTGAAAGAACAAATAGATCAGTTATAAGACAGAATAGAGTCCAGAAATGGACCCATATAAATATGATCAACTAAGCTATGACAAAAGAGCAAAAGCAATACAGTAGAGCAAAGATAGTCTTTTCAGAAACAAATGGTGCTGGAACAGTTGGACATCCACATGTTAAAAAAAATTAATCCAGATAAGACCGTACACTCTCCACAGAAATTAACACAAAATGGATCATAGACCTAAATATGAAGTGTAAAACTATAAAAGCTGTAAAAGATAAAATAGGAGAAAACCCAGATGACTTGAGTATGGCAGTGACTTTTTAGACAATACCAAAGGCACAAACCATGCAAGAAATCATTGATAAGCTGGACTTCATTAAAATTAAAACTTATGCTTTGCACAAGACATTGTCTAAAGAATGAGAAGATAGGCCACAGACTGGGAGGAAACATTTGCAAAACATACGTCTGATAAAGGACTGTTATCCAAAAATATATAAAGAACTCTTAAAATTCAATAATAAGAAAACAAATAATCCAATTTAAAAATAGGCCAAAGGTCTTGACCCACTACCAGAGAAGATACTCATATGGCAAATGAGCATGTGACAAGATATTCCACATCATATGTCCTCCAGGAAATGCAGATTAAAAGAAGATACTGCTGTACCCCTATTAGAATGGCCGAAGTCCAGAACACTGACACCACCACATGCCAACAAGCATTGGAGGTGGGGTAGCAGGACTCATTCATTGCTGGTGATGCAAAATGGTGTGGCCATTGTGGAAGACAGTTTAGTGGTTTCTTAAAAAACTGAACAGATGCTTACCATGTTATCCAGCAGTTGTGCTCCTTGGTATTTAACCAGAAGAATTGAAAACTTGAGGCCACACAAAAACTGCACACAGATGCTTATAGAAGCTTGAGTCACAGTTGCCAAAACTTGGCTAGCAATGAAGATGTCCTTCAGTAGGTGAATGGATGAATAAACTACTACATGCAGACCATGGAATATTATTTAGCAATAAAAATAAATGGGCTACCAAGCCATGAAAAGATATGCAGAGACCTTAAATGCATGTTAGTAAGTGAAAGAAGCCAAACTGCAGAGGCTATGTACTGTATAATCCCAACTTCATGATATTTGCAAAGGCAAACTATAGAGTGAAAAGAAAAGATCGGCGGTTGCCTGGAGCTGGGGGGTCAGGGGAGATGATGGACAGGTAGACACAGAGGATCTTTAGTTCAGTGAAAATATTCTGCTTGATACTATGATGATGGGTAAATGTCATTATACATTTGTCCAGACCTATAGGATGTACAACACCAAGAGTGAATCCTAATGTAAACCATGGACTTTGGGTGATCATGATACGTCAGTGTAGGTTCAGTCGCAGCGAGCACACCACTCTGGTGGGCGATGTCGGATATGAGGGCAGGGTGGGAGCATGTGGGCAGGGCAGGGGGCATATGGAAAATCTCAATCTTGCAGTGAACCTGAAACTGCCTAAATACATCAGTAAAAAAAAAAGTACACTGTGATTCCATTCATATGAAGAAATTGAGTCCTCTTTTTAAAGAAAATTTTATGTGCCCACCATTAATGGAAAATGGTACATGGTAGAGGAAATTAAGTATAATAAGTTATGTCTGCATATTATTTAAAATCATTCCATGGGTCCCCAGTGGTGTGGTGGCCACACTGGGAAAACAGCCCACGATTCGTGTTGGTTGCTCTTTTTTGGCTTTAAGTAGTTGTTACCATCTGTTCATATAGTGAGGTTTTTTGTTAGAATTTTCTGGCATATTGGCCTCCACCATTAAACAAAGGCTAGTTTTATGTTCTAACAGCCATTACACAAATTTGACACCTTAACCTACCTTTTATGCCTTGATTTACATTTTGTTGAATGTTAATATCTACGGTAACCAGGATGTACTCCTTGCCAAGTACTGGCTCAGAGGGAGAACTTCAAAACTAAAAAATTAGCACTAAGCACAGAAATAAAGGCATGAGACTAAATGGTAGAGGGTTGGGACCATCAGCTGCTTTCCAGGCGTCAGTTTTGTTGCCTGTCTAATCTTCGTCAGTAAGTGTTGGCACAGAGTGGGGCACTGAGAATGCAGCTTTCTGTAACTGAATTTTAGAAGTGTGTTATTCCTTTTTTTAACACCCTGATGCTTTCAGATTTCTTCCGAGGCCCCACGGTGCCAAACATCCGCCTGGCTGGCTTAGAGAGTGTCCTGCACTTCACTGCCCTGAACGGGAAGATTTACTTTCGATGCTATAAGTAAGTGCCTTTCCTACCAGGTTTCTCTGTGGCCGTTTCGTAGAGCTCAAACTTAGAACTGGTGTCCAGTCAAACGTTTGTGCGGCGGGTTTGCAGACAGCAGTGGCGCTGCAGCTGTGCTGGTCCGCACGTCTGTCCTTCCCCAGCCCGCTTCTGCTTTCCAGGCCCAAGCTGCTCACGTCGCATTGTCTGAGCTGAGGACACGCGCGTGTTCTTTGTCCCTCCTACTTTTATGCAGTATCACCTTATTTTCCTTGGCTGGCTTTAGAGCACCAAGCCGCAAGTCTTACACCAGCCAAAGCAAATCTCAAAACCCTGAGTCTAAATTTGGAGTCCGAAGTGAGTGAGGCTCTGCGGCTGGGGTCATGTCAGTCTCTTCTCCAGGTGGGTCATCCACCCCTGCTTGCGCCGCAGCATGAATGTAAATCCTGATGAGCTGGCTGTGTTTTCATTAAAAAGCTTAAAGGCATGTACAGCTGTGCCTTTTGAGGTAAGCATGACTTAAAAAAAAAAAAAAGCGTTGGCCCAGGCT